GGGGCCTGAGGGGCGGACTGCGAGCCACTCGACTCGCCAGGGGAGAGAAACACTGCCGGACCGTCCCATTGCCCCTTGACAACAGGGTCTCAGTGGGGAGCTGAGACCGGGGGAGGGGCCTGTCTGCTCAGAGATGGCCTGCCCAGGGAACTGCTGCCACCCCGTCCCCTCACGGTGGGGGGGACGCCGTCAGGTCCCTGAGTGGACAAAGTGGAGGAGAAAAGGTTGGGGGCCTGAGGGGCGGACCGCGAGCCGTTCGACTCGCCAGGGGAGAGAAACGCTGCCGGACCGGACTGTCGCCCCTCGACAACAGGGTCTCAGCGGGGAGCTGAGACTGTAATGTCAGGTACGGGGGATGTAAATTATATAAAGGACACAGGCAAACCCAGCTGACTATATTATTTTTTACTCAAAATACAAACATTCTTAAAACATTAACACTCTTACGGTGTTTCCTTACAGTATCTCTCTGATGCCCACTTTCACTGCCCATTACTCATTAGCACTGGGACAGTATACAGGGACATAATGCATAGCCTCTGTATTTATTTATTTATTTAGACTTATTAGGCTGCCCTTCCCTGCAAGTAGGGCTCAGGGTGGCTTACAACGGAACAGATACAATAAACAGTGCAGTTAAAGCCAACATTAAAATGCCTATAATATATCAGCAAATAAATGACCAGTTGCTTGCAGGTCGGATAAGAGCCGTGGACGGGCCAATTGGAGGCCGTATGTCTGACACCCCTGCCCTAGTCCAACACTTTTAACCACTACACCACAGTGGCTCTCATGTCTCATCAATGTTGTTCATGATTACATCCGAGAGGCTGTTTGACTCTGGAGACATCTGTGGTCACCTCCAGCCATCAAAGGATCTTGCATTCATCCCAGCTCTTTGTGAGGATAATTGGCTGAGAGATTGGTGCTCCCTTTTGAAGGGGAGGTCCTTAGCATCACAGTGCCTATGAGATGAAGGCCACCCATGCTGGGATCTGTCTGTCCCATGCAGCAAAGATCATTGAGATCAATAGGTTCAAATATTCCAAGTTTTATGGGTCTTTTACTGTAGAGATGAAACTGTGCAAGTTTACCGAGGAGTAACCTCACTGATCTTCAAGTGACTGAACTGATCCGTCTTGCTGTTGGAGACGGTCTCCCCCGTGTGATTTGCTCACTTCCTTATGCATACAAATTCTTCCAGAGTACATCCCCATCTGACACAGGATGTACAATGTGCACATTAATTATTAATTTATTTGTAACATTTGCAGCCTGCTTTTCTGCCTGTCCCTCTGATGCAGCTGGGTGGAATGGCCCGTGATGGAGGTGGTTCTGTGGGGGGACACGACAAATGGGTCTTTGAAAGCATGTCTATTGTATCATTGATCGGAGAGCTGGGGTGGACGGTGACTCCCTTGGGGTTTGGCCAGGGGTCATTTCCTGGAAAAAGAGGTGCAGGAGCTCATCAGCATAACTCATTAGCATAACTTATTTGCATATGCCACACCCCCTGACATCACCGGAAGTGTGTCAGAAGGCAACACCCACCGCTCAGGTTCCACTGGACTGTTTTGGATTGCTAGCTATTGGGGGGGGGACGCGCAGATCTGTCCTCGCAGAGGAGGGAGAGCTTGTACCTGAATAAAACTTGGTCTTAAAGGTGCCACTGGACTGTTTGGGCCCGGGGGGCCGAGGGGAGCTCTGCAACTTACCTGGCTGCTTCTTGCTCTGACTGAGGGCTGCTGGGAGCAGGGGGTGGGGCTTGTTGCATGTGCCCACCCCCTGGGCTCTTTACTGCCGGAGCTCCGCTCCTGTGCGCTCCTGCAGGAAATGACCCCTTCCTTGGTGGCAAACGTGGGGTTGCTACCTTGTAACGTGTGAAATGGCCATGGATGCATAGTTCCTGGGGATTCTTTCCCTGCATCTCCATCTTGCCCAAAATAACACCTTTGAGTCTTTGCCACCTGTCGTGGTGAAAAGGGATTGGCAAGGAAGCAAGTCTCTGCATGCATTTCCCAGACTCAGATTAGGGGTGGGGGGCAACGCTCCCTCTAAGCTGTGGAGTCCTGTGAGCCAAAATTCTACTTTGCGAGCTACTGGCATTAACGCTGTGAGCGAGCGATTTGGCTCCCGCATAAATCAGTTTGCTCTGGAGCCATCCTTCCGGAGCAAAGGCAAAAATGTGTGAGCCGAATGCTAAAAAACGGTGAGCTAGCTCACACTAACTCAGCTTAGAGGGAACACTGGTGGAGGCGATGCAACAGTGCGATAGTGCTAAAACAGCTCCTCTTCCGGTACCCCAGTCTCTTTTGATGTTCCTGTTGCAGGAATCCTGGAAGGAGATTGAAAGTGGTCCTTTCAGCTCCTGATCAGAGAAAGACATAGGGATCTACCAGCATCATAAGTCTTGGGAAAGACAGGAAACGTGTATCCTTGCCTTCTCTTGAGTCTATAGATTAGTGACTACATCAGTGGTTGTGCTGTTGGGGCTGTTATCTCCTCTTGACCAGTCATAGTTTACTATTACTATGTAGTGGATCTCGAATATCCAACCCTGGAAGGATCTTTTCAGTTGAGAAGTTTTTCATTGATCGGGTTCGATATTCAGTAAGGCCACAAATGTTTACAGTTCCCGCGTGGAGTACTTTTTTGTAACGTTGTTCCCCTCTGCTGTTTGTTGCACAGTTACCTCATCGTCGAGTGACATTCTCTGCAGCCAATCAGGCTCAGGACCTGCAGGACCCATCCCAACACAGTTACTACGACAGTGGCCTTGAGGAGTCAGAAACGCCAAGCAGCAAGTCCTCTTCAGGGCCCCGCATCGGACCCCTGGCTCTGCCCGAGGACCACTACGAGCGCACCACGCCCGATGGCAGCATTGGGGAGATGGAGCACCCCGAGAACGGTAAGAGACCCGCTTCGCTTGCTAAGCTCCTCCGTGCGAACACATCGAGGGCTCGTAGGGCACCTTCCAGGCCAGGGAACAGGACCAGGGAGTTGTTGGGGCCAGGCAGCTTGGAAAGTAGCAGCCGAGGGGAAGAGCAGGAGGTGCAGAGAGGGGAAGCGGAAGAGGATGGTCCCTTGGGGTCCGTGTTCTCATTTGAGTCTGCAGTGGCATATCTAGTAGTGGAGAGCAGTTGACTCTGTCCTTTTCCGTAGATCTGCTTGGCCCTGGCGCTAAGCTCCATCTGCCTTTTGGCTTAACTTGGAAGTTGTCCAAAGTGAATGTGGGAACTGGAGTGTGCACCACCTGCCAGACTTTTCGGAATTTGACCAGCATGCACCATCACCTGTAGGCACATTGATTACATTACAGTGCAAAAAGGAATTTTGTTACGATCGCATCAAGATTCCTTTTTGCGCAGAATTAATCAGTGTCTGTATGTGCTGCTGGCATGCAGGGGTAACCTGTTAAAAATAAAGATGTGGTTTGAAAAATGTAACAGTGTGCACATGTCCCCTGGCGTGAACAAAGCCAAAATCAAACATGGAAGAATGGGGAATTGCTAATGCATCGGTATAACCCCAGAACAACAATCTGGACAGGAAATTAGGTAAGGGGAAGAAATATTCAGATAGTAACTTGAGCTCCTGATTGCAGGATTCCAGAAACTGGCTCCTTGACCTCTCAGGAGCTGTATGAAAGCTGGAGGATGTCAGTTTCCTGGCTGCCTGGAACTAGGCCAACTCTCTCTGATGATCTACCAAGCAAAGTAGAGAAGGGAGTCAGCAGACCTTACTAGTAAATCTCTGAGAAAGTGAAGGGCTCTGTTTGATACTAAAGGCCTCCGAGATCCAGCTAAAGGTGGAAATGGAGCCTTGGCGTGAAAGGAAGGGAGGGGAGAGGAGTATTGTGCTGTGGGGAAAGAGCATGGGCAGCCAGAAGTCCCTCAGACGGCTACTCCTGAGCCAAGAGATGGGATGGGGTATGCCTAAGAGCTGATTGGCTGCCATACGTAGAAGCCTGCGTGATAGTTTTCCCAGGCTCTGCTTTCCTCACGTCTCTTTCTCCTCAGCCAATGTTTTCCCCGAGACTCTGACACATCTTCCCTTGACCACTCTGGCCTCTTCCTTCTTAGGTTGCCCCCCCCCCGTTTCCGCACACTCCTCCCATGTAGCATCTGAGCACACAGCCCATGCTGTTCCTGCATCCTGCTTGAGTCTTTCCCTGACCAAAGTGACATTTTACTTCCTCTACAGAACGAATCTGGACGTTGTATTAATGTTCCCTTGAGCCTTCAGACCGTTTCTGGGCATTCTAAGACATCCGAGCAGCCCAGCCGGCAAGAGGGGCTTGAAGACAGGCAGTTATAAGAGATGGGTTTCCAAATCCCATACTCTGAAATAGTTACACAAGAGCACCTCTTCTTAGTCGAGGTATTATAGTCTAACATATTTATCAGTGCAAAAAAGACCCATCCCAGACTTGATGTTATCATTCGCTAGGCAAGTCCACACCTTTCCTGTTGACCTTGAAGTCACAATTTATTGTGATTAGCATGCCTCCGAAATCCTGACAAGTGAGGTTTCAGAGCACCTACACAGCACACAGTTGGGTGATAGATTGGGCTGGTAGAATTCTGGACCTGACAGCTTCAGGTAGAGATAGAGTTTTTAATGTTGAATATCACCCCATCGTTTAAAAAAAATAAAAGATCTGCATATAGTAAGCAAACACATCAGAGAAAAAGGTTTTAACACAGTGTGTTTGCTAGCTCCATGCAGGGAAAGAAGCAGTCAGAATGTATCCACTACCTACTGTTTTACACGGTACAAGACTTCCAGTGGAGGTCTTTTCCGTGCCATGTTGCACTTTTGGCCAGCTTCATCTTGGTGTTATTAGAAAAAGGTGATTATACAGTTATCCATGCTATAATCACAATCCAGGCTAGACAACTGCAAGCAGTGTTCCCTCTAAGCTGAGTTAGTGTGAGCTAACTCACAGTTTTTAACCGCCGGCTCACACATTTTTTTCTTGGCTCAGGAAGGAGGGCTCCAGAGCAAACTCATTTAAGCAGTAGCCAAATCGCTCGCTCACAACTTGAATGCCAGAAGCTCACAAAGTAGGATTTTTGCTCGCAAGACGTCACAGCTTAGAGGGAACATTGACTGCAAGGTATTCTGTGTGGGGCTACGACAGTCTGGAAACGTCAACTGGTTCAAAACACATCAGCAAGATGTGACTGTTAACCCCCGTTTTCTCTTGATAACGTTTGAGGGAGGGGCTGGGCCTCAGCGGTAGAACATCTGCTGTGCATGCAGGAGGTCCCAGTTTAAATCCCCGGGATTTCCAGTTAAAAAGATTAGACAATAGTTTAGGTGAAAGGACTTTGCATGAGACACTGGAAAGCTGCTGCCCGTCAGAGAAGACAGTACTGAGTTTAATAGACCAGTGCGGCTTCACGTGAATTGATGGACCGTGGCTCAGTGGTGGAGCATCTGCTTCGCATGCTGAATGCCCCAGGTTCAGTCTCTGGCATCTCCAGTTGAAAGAATCAGGCTCTGGAGAGCCTCTGTTAGTCAGACAATTCTGGCCTCAGTACATCAGTAGAAGGCAGTTTTGTTATCTGTGCCCGTTTATATTGCGCATCACACCCTGCAAATTGTTAACACCTTTAAATCTTTATGCTCTGGTATGTCATATCTGGCCTTTATTTTAAATCATTGTTGCTGATTCTTTTAGTGCTGATTAATTTCAATTTTCAATTTTATTGCTGCTTTTGATATTTTCTTTTAAATTTTGTTTTTATTGCTTCTGCTGTCCTGAATCTGCTCAGAAATGTACTCCTGATTTTGCTGTTTCCATGTATGCAACATTTATTTTACTGCTGCTGTTTTAATATATGATTATTTTGTGCTGGCGTTATATTGTTATAATTGGCCGTAAGCTGCATCGAGCGCATTTGGTGGAGACAGTGGGGCAGAAAAAACAAAACAAAAGAATCTATGTCTCTCCTGACTCTACTGAAATGGAGAAGGAGAGTTTCATCAGCAGAGTGAAAACCTGTCCTTCCAGATCCCCAGATAACCTTTTCCAGTCAAGCTTTTTTCAGGTCCAAAGCTGGGGAATTGAAACAGGTCTAGACCCAGTTCTCCCAAGCAAGCCTGGCATTTTAGAGTCACTATCCGGTTGAGCACTTTGCTTCCAAGGGGGATTTCTTACCAAGCGATAGTTGTTAAAAATATATATATTAGGGACTAAGGAAAGATTCTTCAGGGTGGGAGAGGTGATTGTTATACCAAAACCTCCTTAAGTTCTCCCTACCTGAGATTTTAAAAATGCTAGGTACTGTGAACTGTCTGATTATTTTTGGTGATGTCAGGTAATTCCCAGCAGCCTGAACAGGCTAGCTTAGCCTGGGCTTGTCAGACGTTGGGAACTAAGTAGGGTAGGGTTGCCAGCTCTGGGTTGGGAAATACCTGGAGATTTGGAGGGTGGAGCCTGAGAAGGGTGGGGTTTGGAGAGGGGAGGGGAGGGACTTCAGTTGGCTTTAATGCCACAGAGTCTACCTTCCAAAGCGACCCTTCTCTCCAGGTGAATTTATTTCTGTTACCCGGAGATCAGTTGTAATCCCAGGAGATCTCCAGCCACTACCTGGAGGGTGGCAACTCTACAGCAAGGTCAGTACTCGAATGGGAAACTTACGAAGATTACTGTGGTTGCTAGGCAGTGGTAGGCAATGGCAAACTACCTCTGGCCCTCTTTTGTCTGGAACACCCCACGGATGGGATTGCCACATGTCAGTTGTTGTAACTCAGTGCCTCTCCTCTTCCTCCTCCTCCTCCTCATCTTCTGTTCTGGAAAACGTAGAAACAAGAATACAAGGAAATTGACATGTACGTTGGGACTGACTTTGGCAGTACTGCAAATCAAAGATTCCTAGAAAGGGTGCCTTAGTGAGTCTCACTGTGCGTGTTCAGGAAGATGCATTTGCAGAAGACTCACATTTGTGTGTATGATGCCTGCTTCCGGGCCCATAGCTACAGTGGGGCCTCTCAGGGCCCAGCCCCCTGACTTACTGCTAAGCCCCCCCCCCCAAGTTCCCATCCACCCCCCCCCCCAGTTCTATTTTTTAATTTTATTTGTGGTGTTCCCTGGTGTGTGTGTGTGGGCCCCCCGAATTAAAAAAAGCCTGGCTACAGGCCTGCCTGCTTCCTACTTGAGTCCACATTCACCCTGGGAAAGCGGAGCATAAGAGAGAAACCTTCTACCTCTTACTTTTTGTTCTTAAGGAGCTGTAGCTTCAGGCCCTAACATTATTCAGGTCCTAACAGTATTTCAAAGGGATCTTTAAAACAAAGGGGCAAAGCTCAAACATGGACTTGGGAATGGAAACGGGGCCTGGAATTTAGCAGAATGATCAGAGAGCACTTACCGAGGGGGGCAGAAATAGTCAAGTAATATTTAGTCAAGTAATATTAGAGAAGAAGAAGAAGAGAAGAGATTGCATTTATACCCCACCCTTCACTTGGAGTCTCAGAGTGGCTTACAATCTTCTTCCCTTCCTCTCCACATAGGGTTGCCAGGTCTGGGTTGGTTTGGGGAGGGGAGGGGATCTCCAGGCCCTACCTGGAGGCTGGCAACCCTATCTCCCCACAACAGACACCCTGCGAGGTAAGAAGAAGAAGGGAAGAGATTGGATTCATACCCCGCCCTTCACTACCCAAAGGAGTCTCAGAGCGGCTTACAAACTCCTTTCCCTCCCCCTCCCCACAACAGACACCCTGTGAGGTGGGTGGGGCTGAGAGAACTCTGACAGAAACTGCTCTTTTTTCAAGAACAGCTGTGCCAGAATTATGGCTTGCCCAAGGTCATCCAGCAGGTGCAAGTGGAGGAGTGGGGAATCAAACCCGGCTCTCCCAGATTAGAGTCCGTGCACTTAACCATTACACCAAACTGGCTCT